TCTGAGATTTCATCTCATTATTATGTTTCTCACAAGTATTTTGAGATTCCACCAACATTTCTTCGTCAAAAATTATTTTCATCGAACCAGCTACAGCGAACACGAGGCAAAAAATGAGAATATACCGAATCTCTAAACCCTAAAGTAGACAAAATGCCACTTTTTTTCAATTGGCAGGAATCGAAAATGACAAAAAGGTATTTTTTTGGGCAGGATTCGGGTCGGGAGGGCAAAATATGACATTTTTTAAGGTGAAATCCCACGTGGTATCGAATTCCACGTGACGATTTTTTATTCGGTACCGCACGTAGTAGTTCATGCAGTACACGTACCGAATAAAAATTCCCCCAAGAAAGGCTTATATAGCCAAGAAAGGAGGAGAAAGCCTACCTACACTTACCTGTGGTGAACCGAAGTCGAGGGAAGCGGGAAAAAAGGCGACAAATGCTGCAAAGAGGAGCAGGATAGGGTTCGGCGACAGGATCGCGATCTGTTGCGTGCAACAGGGTAATGGCGAGCGGGAGAGGGTCGCGGCTCGAGGAGGGCAGAGGATCAGGAGTATCGCAGAAGATAGGATCGCGTATGGGGTTGGGCTGCGCGCTAGCGGGATGGAGAGGATCTATCGGGCGTGCAAACGGGATGGGGGAGGAGGCGTGAGATGGGGCGTGCAAAAGACTTAGGGATTTTGGGATTTATGGATTTAAAGATTAAAGAAGAAAAGAAAAAAAAAGATTTTTTTTTAATATTTATTATTCAAAATTCACAATTCATGTGTGCATGAAACCACATCAAAATGGGTGTTCTCCCTAGGTAAAGTCGGCTCTCCGGACGCGCCGACACAGACCGTTTCGTCATCCAGGTTAATCTGGGAGCGTGTCGAATTCAATTTCCGTCAAAATTTTGGTTTGAGCTCAATTGATTGATCAAGGTCAATATTGTGTAGATGATTGTGTAGATGATTGTCACAAGAGGTTTAGAAAAGACTTGGAGTGATTTTGAATTGATTTGAAGGGTCCATTTGAGAGATTTTGGGCATTTGATCAATTTGGGTATGTTCGGTTAGACTTGGGTTTAGGTTGGGCTAAAGTTGAATTAAGTCCAAATTGATGGTTGAAAATGGTCTAGGGGAATGTCATGAAGTGTTCTCAATATTAATTGGGTGTCAATTTTGGGGTTTGGATATTTAATTTGGTGAAATTTGGGCACATGACTGAATTGGAGCAAAATTTGGGTTTTTGGATTTTGGTTGAAATTGAGCTAAAAGTATGGGTTAATTGGGTTGAGATTTCGTTTGAATTGAGTTTGATCATGATGAATTTGAGTTTAGAATTGAAATTAGGGAAAATTAGGATCAAAATTGAGTTAAATTGAAGAGTCCAAATAGGTTTTGGGGACAAAAGGCTGAGTTGGGTATTTTGGTGAAATTGAGGTGCCAACCACCCATTTTGAGTTATGGACCAATGAAATTTCTATTTGGGTCCTCTATGTACTGGTCTTATCTAAACCCTAGCCTAGGGCTAGTGAGTCTAGGAGACAATCTACATGAGTGCCCCAAAGGATCAAGGGATGAAAGTCAACAAGTTTGGGTTTAGGATTGTGAGTGAAAGTGAGTAAAATTAAGAGTGTGCAAGTGAGTGAACTAGCTCCAAACCAGTACCCAGGGTCAACCTTAAGGCCAAGTAGTTCTAAGGGGATGCCTCTTGAGCTCCCCCATATTGACCCCACCTACTAAGTGTTGGAGTTTAAGAGCAATATGTGGAATTTCAAGTTGAGCAAAGAAGAGTTTAGAGTTTCTAATAGTGAGGATTCCTTTTCTAGTTTTCTAGGAATAGTCAACAGGAAAGTCCTATGGCTAGAACCTAGGTCACTAAAGAGGAAACTAGACCTCAACCAAAAGTGAAGTCAACAGACACTAAATAGGATGCAATGGAGAAAAAAATTCATGTGGTTGACCCCACTTAGTGAGATAAAGGTTTTGTTGTTGTTGTTGTATTATATGTTTCTTCTCTTTTTTTAATGCATAAAAAAATAATTCTCTTGAATAATTAATATAAATTTTCAAATAAAATAATTATATCATTGTTTACATTATGTATTCATATGTGTGCATGAGTGCTTGTGTGCATCCGTGTGAGCGCTCGAACGCGTAATGCTTTGCTTAGAAATAAATTGAAGAATCTCAAGGGGAAATGCGCTCAACCTGATCAGAAAAAAAAAAGTGTGTGCACTATAAATGGAATACATGCATTTTGAAAATTCCAATGTTTGGTTGAAAGAAGAACAAATCTAATATGAAATTGAATGCATTTAGAATTCACTCTCCGGTTCAACTTTTATGCATTCGGAATTCCTTTGATTTGGAAGATTTTCAAATACATACTTCTGTAAAATATTGGCCCATCGCCAACACTAGCTGTGACCTCTGTATGTAAATATCGAATTCACTCTCTGGTTGAGAAATGTTTCACATTCGATGTTTTACATAAAATATCGAATGCTTTTTTTTTTTTTTTGAACTTAAAGATTACAGTATCAGTAATTTAATTATGTCAGATTCATGATCTCATCGTACTACATTTAGAGATCATGATTGATTGAATAGAAACATACATAGACCATCATGAATGTAACAAGAAGCCCACGCTTGGGTGGAGATCATGATTCTAGCAAAACTCATGCAATAAATAGTGTGTTCATGGTTAGATGAGTGTAAGCAAATAAAAATTATAAATAAAACGACATCCAAAACAAAATAAAGATTATGATCAGGATAAGTCAAACCTGATCAATCAAAGGTCGTGACTGCGTATAATGCTTGTGATTGACAAGTCGAACTAATGTGTGTATCAAATCAAATCTATAAAAGAATTTAAGGTTGATTTGCCTAATGTAAGTTTGGTAAATGTACATAAGTCAATGTGACAAAGACATTAAATGATATGAATAACATGATGGAATCATATGCAATAATATATGCAAATCACATTAATGCCTTGTCAATAAGTAAAAAATATTATATAACATGCACATCACAAATGACTTTGTATATATTGCAAAACAAATATACCAGCCAACAAATATGGAACCGTACATATGATTTGTTTTAATACGCATGATGATCATACTTGGTTTTGATGCACTTTAAACGTTTAATCCATAAATTCCAGAACAAACATACCAGCCAACAAATATGGAACCGTACATATGAACTTCAACATGATCACATTGGTTTATAAGGCTTTAGAAATGCAAGCTCAAGCAAAGAAATTGTTAAGTTTCATATTAGGAAATGATTACTTTCTTTTGCAAAAATTTTAGCCCTTGATGCCTTCAATCTACCCAATTAAGTGCCCATTTGGGACAGCTTTCTAGTTGTTTTGCTTTTCAGGCTGCCATTGCAGCTCTGTTTAGGGAACTGTTTTTTGTTATTTTCTAGAAATTTCTGTGGTAGAAAATTTTTTTTTAACCTAACCTGTTAAAGTATGGTGGTTGCCAACAAAATTTATGATCAGACTTTTTGAAATTAAAATATATTTGTAATAGTCACCACAACTTTTTGAACAATAATTTTTTCTACAGTAGTTTCACAACTGCTTATTCAAACCGCTGCAGCCGTCCCAAACGGATTTTAAATTTAAGGAAAATTTAGCAAAGCAAAACCCAATACACTATGTTCTCCTATAGGGGGATTTAGAATATTAGGTTTTCATGGAAATATTCTAATATGAGTAAGAATGAAGAGATGGTTTATGCAAAAGCAATTCTAAGTGAAAAAAGCATATGGAAAGAAGATACGACTATAAACATTTTGTATAAATTCATGACTAAAATTACCAAAATAAACTCATGAAATTTGTCATAATTTACACGAGTAATTCATTTGGATGCATTTGATCATTTAACATGTGCAATCCAACGTGAATGATTCTCAAAACCCATATAAGCATTCCCTCAAACAAATGGCATGCAACATGAGGGAACACAACAAAATTTCTGAACAAAATATCTTACAATGTAAAATAAACATGAGCACACTATAAATCAAAGTGGGTGATCGACGCATAGCGGTCAATGGAATTCAAGGAATCGGGTGATCGACCTCAGACGGCTAATCAACCCGAAGCAGGTGATCGACGCGTGATGGTCGATCGAGCCGAAAGGATCGGTTGATCGGCCAGGGACGGCTGATCAAACCCAAAGCGTCGACCGATCATGTCGGGGCAGTCTATCGAACCCAAAGAAGGTCATCGACGTATGACGGTAGACCGAACCCAAAGGATCGGGTGATCGTCCCAGGACGGCCAATCAAACCCAAAGCTTCAGTAGATCATGTCGGTGTGATCGATCGACCTGAAGTGCTCACGCAATCACACATATGATATGCTACATGATCTATATGCAAAAAAGTCACAAGCTAGCACACATGCAATGCAACTGAAAATGATCGACGACACGTCGAACTTGTCCTAACAATCTCACGTAGGTACCTAGAGTTGAAGCTCTTGGATCCGTTGTATAGCCGTCTCCGACTTTGGCTTGAAAATGTGGAGTACTTCGCCCTCCGATTTTCTAGTAGGGGAAGTCCTTCACCATCCGTGGGGCGGACTAAATATAAATTTTTTTCGTCCTACGAACTTCCACTATCTTGTAGGATAAACTAGCTACAAAGTTTTTCCCATCTTTTAAGACTGAACTCTCCCAATCCTCCAAGGAAGGTTGGAAGCACCAAAGCCGTAGGAAATTTGAGATTTTGGCTTGGTTAGTTATGGGTCTAAGGCTCACAAGGGAAAACTCTCGAACTCATTAGGAGCATCCAACAAAAGCTTCCTAACTTAGAGCTACCACTAAACAATCAACAGTCAATCCAAGGGAGTGTTACCGTGCATACTAGCATTGACCGACCCACTCAACCTGTGTGAGTGACCGGACCCACAACGTCTAGCGTAAACTAACCTAAGGCCGACTAGGAAAGAAAACGCAGAGTGTTTTGAGATTCTCACCACCGCGGAAAATGCTCGTTGTCCGGCGAAGTCGGGGAAGAAGCTCTCCTCGAAAGGAGAGAGCATGCCCACGTTTTTCACGTTATGATGCCGTCGGTGTCCTTCGACTGTGAGGCGCTCCGGCGAGCCTTCCGGCCGAAACGAAATGAAAGCCGGCTAGAAGGGTTTCGGGCCAAAAGGCGCGGCGACGAGGTAAAGGAGATTCACGTCGGGGACTTCGCCCGAAGGAAGCTTGGCCGGCACGAGAGGAAACCGACAGCCGAGGGCTTCAGTCGCGAGCAACCGAGGGAGGCCGGCGGGATGTCGCCGGCGAGAGCGGAAGGCCGTGCGAAAAATTGACAGAGGCGGGGGAGAGATCAAATGCTAGCGTGAAAACCCTCGGATAGGAGCTACGGCACGGACGGGGACACAGGCGGTAGAGCATTTGCCGGCGAGGAGCGCCAGCCGGCGAGTTCGGGCGCGACAGAAGGAAGTTGGCGGTCTCGTTAAAAGGCGCGATCAGTGAGGGAGCGGGTGTGCGTGTGTTTATAAAGGTTTTATTATTATTATTATTATTATTATTATTATTATTATTATTATTATTATTATTATTATTATTATTATTATTATTATTATTCCTCCATATATGTCTTGCTAGCTTGTGGGCAAAATCACAGCCAAATAAATATCATTTATTGTCAAAATTGATCTTCAGGACACGCTCGCATCTTCCATTTAGTCATCTGGGGTCATTTAAATAAATTTGTCGATGATTAAGCCAACTTAAATATAATTTGTGTGTGGCGATAAATGAGGTATGTCGGTCGGATCGAAGCCGTCTGACAAGCAAAATATAGATTGGTCTTCGCCTAAGCAACGAATAAAGTCTAGCAGAATGATCATGGTTGTGTGCCCCTTAACACGCGCCGAAGAATCTCAAATGGATGTCTCGAGCTATGGGAAACAACATGTGTGAAGCAAGGTATCATAGTACTCAAGTGGAAATCACACACACATATGATATCAAAAGTGATGCCAACAGGTTACTCCACTCAGATGACATTAGATATACGGACAAAATGTAAATTAGACATATCATAATATTTTTTTTATGAAAGTTATGTTGCTTGAATTTATCATAAATAACCACTCCATTTCACGTTGTTTTTCAGTTTTTTTTATTAATGATCTCAAAATAAAACTTAATATTTTTCAGTATAAATTTTGGAAAGGGAATGATTGATATTAAAAGCATGAAGATTATTTCATGCAAAATCATGACAAATAGTGATATAAAACTAGAAGGATTAGCCAACATATATACAAAGCACTAGATCCTTCAAAAGGATTGAATTCATCTGTAAATTTTTTTAAATAAAATATTGTGCACATATAAAAGGATTGATACGTATGATCGAACTGCTTCTAATCTTCTCAATCAAATAAATGTGCTACCACTCAAAAGATTTTATTGAGTCTACCAAATATTACGTTATGCAATCTTCTCTATTATATTCAACCTTTTAAGCCTTGGAGTCACTAGTAACGGGGAACTTATACTATTTATCTCTGCATCGACCCCTTCAATTTTTATTTGGCTTGAGCAGGTGTGTACTCACCATGTATTATGATAATTCTCAATCACAAGTGGAAGGCAGCTCTAGCCCAACTTAATTCCTTTTCAAAAATGTTTGGTGGCCTCTCACTAGTGACAATGATAGACTGCTATATGGTCATTGCTGAAGTAAATTTACTTGTGACATTTGGAGGCCATTTTGTTGCATATATTAGTTTTGTTAAGTAAATTGAATGCAAGTTTTGACATTTAAGATGTTTGGTTGAAAGAAATCTAAGTGTGGAGTAATTTTTGTTAGATACTTAGAATCCCAATTAAAGTCACTTTTAGTGCATTCAGAATTCAACCGATATGAAAGAATTCCAACTACGCCGCATGCATGAAACTTCATCATCACCCGCCATTGCTTACTCACCATTGCCAAGTTATCATTGGTCTCTGGCCTTTAAGAGTTAGCATGAAAAACTCATCTCCCCTTCTATTTCTTTCCATTGATTGGATTTAAGTTATAGCTACAAGTTTTTAAATTGATGCTTCTATATTTATTTTAATTATTATATAAAAATCTAATCATACATATAGATATCTAATTTGCTTAATTCTTTCTAAAAATTATTTTAATTACACATTATGCGACTATTATAAGTTTGCATAACTATTTTACCAAAGTATGAGTGAACCTTTTTAATCATGCATACATGATACAACATATATTTATTAATAAAAATACTATATCAAGAAAGATCAAAAATGTGATTAAAAATATTAACTTTTATATATATTTTTTTTATTATAAATAAAAATTTGTATTTAATCATATGTGAATTGATGATTATTTAGTTGTTAATTTCTTTTCTTAATTTTTTTACTACATTTAATGTAATGACTAAAATGTATTAACATTAAAGTGTTATGCACCAATTTTGTGATATGTTATAGTTCCCATCATTTGTGGGTTGTCAGATCAAGGAAATCAAAGTCGTAGTCTTATTGAAGGAACAAAATAAAGCAAAACATATAAGGAGGAAGCAGTTCTTCCTTTAATTTTCTCTCATTTATTTCTTCTTCCTCTTTCTATGGGTCATAAAGACTGGAGACACAACATATTTGAATTTCCAGTATGAAATTTTTGCAAAAAAAAAAAGAAGAAGAAATTAAATCAAGTTGGGAGACATTTTGAATCTTCTACATTTGATTTAATTTTTATTATATTTTTTATTAAAAAATCATAACTTTTCATGTGCTTGGTTTCATAGTTTGATATTCTTTCACTAGATCCACAACACTGTTTTGAGTTAAAGTTATATTTTGGTTCATATTTTATGATTATTTCCATCTTAAGACATTTGTAAATTGCCAAATTCATTTACATTTCTTGATAATAAATTACAGTAAACACTGTCATATTATGAAACTCCTTTAGTGATTAAAAATCGACAATTTGCTTTCCATTTGATATTCTTAAGATCCATTATTTGTTGCTATTTGCCCAATACTCATCTCTAGTACTTCTCTTTATGGTTAAATGAAATTTTGGGTATAGAATTTGTAAATTAATGATATATCATATATATTTAATTATGATTATCTTAGTTTATGAATATTTTTATTTGTATTAAATGATGTCTATTATAATTTACAATCAATGTGTCATTAGATACCAAGTATTATTTTATTTTGATTCACATTTTATTTGTCTACTATTTCAATTTCAATATTTATTTTGATTCTACCTGGCTTGAATATTCTTTGTTGTAATAGCGCTTTGACTTGCTTTTTGATCTCTTCATATTTTAGCATCAAGTTTTTATACAACTTGTTGTAATATTATTCGTTCATTTAGGTGTTGTACTTTTGTAACACTCTCCGGGGTTTCAAAACTTAGAGAATCGTAATATTATTTTTAGGGTTAGATTTGATTCTTTGGTCGACCAAGTGAATCCCAAGAACTTATCCTAAGTGACCTTGAAGCTGTTTTTAGTTTGATTAATCTACATGTAAAATCCAAATAAAAATCATAGATACATTATGTTATTTTGAATTATTTGGTTAGCATATTAGCAACATTGACCACCATGATGTATCCTGTGAGATTCTTGAAGATCTTATTCATAAATTGTTGGTAAGTAAGTGGTATTGGTGTTCTTCAATCTAGAAGCATGACACAATAATATAGTTTTTTATTATTTTAGAATGAGTACTCTTCGTCTTGTATGAGTTTCATCTAAATGTATTAAAATCAGAGGAATGTGCATTTACAAAGCTACACATTTTATGCTCGAAAGCAATCTTGTCTAGCTTATTTTATATGAGAAGAAAAATTGTATTATTGAGAGGCTTTATATTTATCGTTATAATCAATAGATATTCTTCATGCCTAATAGCTTTTTCAACCATGGTGATGTTTATCAACCAAAGAGAGAAATGCACTTCATGAATAAACTCATCCTAACTTTTTTTATTTCTATTAAGCGTCATGAAGCAAAATTTTCATTTTTTGATGGTTGAGTTAGATATGTCATCAACAATTTCCCATCATCCGACACGAATCTCCAGATAGGGCATAGATCTGGAGGCAACCCTTTTGAACATGAAACATTCCAACTTTGATAAAAAGTCATCCAAAAGTTTGATTTCAACAAACTTATAGTCAAACTGACCAACTAAACAAGACGAAGCCAACCGTGCCAAAAGCAATCCAATCTGAGTCAAATCAAGCTTAGATCAATTCATTAAACCACCTTTGAAAGCTTTTCCTGGCATATTTGGAAGGTAAAACAGATGATGAATTTGATTAGTTTATGGTTAAATTAAGCGTCTCAATAATACGAATCCAACAAGCCTATAATCGCTCAATTCCAACATCGTTAAGACACTCAAATGTCCATCAACGTCTTTTGATCGAAGAAAACTCTTTGAGCAGTCCTATCAAAGTGGTTCATATTCCTTCAGTAATTGCAATTGAGACTCTATAAATAAATCCCCTCATGAGGAGGAAAAGAGAGAGCTGAAAGCTTGCAGAAGATTAAAGCTTAGAGAATGAGCTGAAGTTCAACATCTCCTCATTGCCAATTGTCGTTGAACATTAGTCACCGACCATTGTTGACAGCCACTTGCCGACTATCGTCAATTACCATCAGCCGCTACTGGACCATCATCTACTTACCGATGTTGTAACTTAAGAGATTATGTAACCCTTTTCTACCTATGGAACAAGAGGTTGTAACTGCAATAACCAAGTTATAGTGGATTTCTTTAACTGAGTCGGGTATTGTAGTGTTTTCATGTAAAAACTTATAGTTTCTCTATTAGTTATCTTATTTCATCTGAGTGTGTGTTGAATTCTCGTGCAACGCTAACATGATAAACTATTAATCTACTATCGTGGATAATCTAGCAAGCATCAGAGATTGAATGTTGTATCTATCTTGAGTGTGATTTTGTCTAGATTATTGTTGAGAATATCAACAGGGCTCTAGAAAAGATGTCTTAATTATTATAGAGTGAGCTCATGCACTCCCATTTTTTAACATTTTGATAGTGGATACTAAAATTTTATTTTTTGTGAAGCGACCAAATCATCAAAAAGAGAGATCGCCTTGATCATGGTCTTAAAAATTAGGTTGAACTAGCCACTTCAATTTATTTAGTTGTGAACCTTTCTTCTAGCTAGTTCATTTTAATTTTAAAAATGCTCGTAGATAGAACTAGTTAGAATAGATAAGAATCAACGAAAAAACCAGAGAATTAGTGAACCAGTAACATTATTGAAGAACCATCTCTTTTAATATTAATCAACTTATGGCCTTTCAATTTTAATTAGATGGCTAAAGAAGATTAAGATTAGAATTTAAAAAATAATTAAAAATACATTATCTCAAAATTTTGATCTAGAATTATATTCAAAGAGTAAAGTGCTCTTATTTAAAATATT